CCTGTATTAATGTTTTAACAGATGAAGACCACAGTAAATTAGGAAGTCCAGATAATAATTAGTATATGTATTTCTGGTTTTGAAAGATGGCATCATACCTGCCTGCAATAAGTAAAAGTATGTAAGGGTAAAAATAAGAAGAAAACCACATTAGAAATAGCACAGATTTCTCATAATGGATGGGTTTTGTATCCTAAAGGTCAGCAAACCAACAGTTGAACAAATCCAGATTCTAAGACTGCTAGGGAAGACTTCCTTATTGATAATTTGGCCAAGTGGCAGCATTTATTACTCCTTCCGCTACAGCAAACGTGGGTCTAGCTGGTAAACTGAACTGCTAATTGTTGATAGAAACTGGACTAATAATGTGGGAGAAGGAATGCAAGGAGGGGAAAAGTTATCAGGTTTCACAGTAGGAGAACTGCTGAAACAGCTTGACAAATGGTAGCTAAAATAAACCCATGTCGGAGAACTGTGACACAATCTGTATTTTAGACTGTTTTTAAAAGAAAAAAACACTTCTCCCTTTTTCTGGCCTGACAGCTCTGTTCTGAGAGGTCAGCAGCAGACACGGAAGCCTAGTTACCGCTTCATAGCAGTTCTTGCTCAAGAAAACATTTTCACCTCTTACATTCACTAGGCCTTGGACCATCTCATGGGTGTCAGTTGGAAACCTTCATTGTAGTAGTTTTATCTTTACCCACCTATAGAATACACAGAGTCCTTACAGTGTGCACTTACAGTTACGAAGATTCCAAATTTTAAGAAAAGTAAATAAATTAAATAAATGTAGGCCATGATGCCTTCAGGAGGTAGCATAGTTTCAAAAAGCCATTGAGCGGCCAGTACCTTATATATAGCTAGAAATCTAACCATAGGTAGCCTCTTTTTAAAGCCTTGTCTACAAATACAAGGAGTCTCTTCATCACTGCCCACCAAATATGCATATTTTAGCCTACCAGGCTGTAAGAGCTTCTACTCTGAATGGTCTGTCACAGTGAAATAAAATGGACTAAATTCCTTTTGGAGTTGAAGTTTAATGTTTCAGCACTCTTAAATCTTAGTTTTGTGGTGGTTCCATTGGAACAAATTACTTGCAGAATGAAACCTATTTCCATGGAAAAATATGCAGTAAAATAATAGTAATTTAAAAGTATTAGTATTCCTAAATTTCTCAGATAATTCTTTCTACTGAGGCAAATTAAGCTCTTTTCTGCTCTAGGGTTGTATCTAACCCACTGCAAGTTATTGATTGTAAATCTCACAGGCTATTTGTGGAATCATCACTGATAAATCTTTACTATTAAATTAATCAAAAGAAGGGCATCACCAAAGAACTCGGATAACTCAAATTTATCTGTTTGTTTTATCTGAAAAATAGATAATGCTGTTTATTATAAATACTGTTTATTAAATCTGAAAAAGGAAAAGCTGCATTTACCAAAGTTATTAACACTGTAGCAAACAGTTGCATACGCAGTTTGCTAAGGTATGTCTGTAAAGTAAAGAATACTGGCTCTTTGTTTCCCTTGCGTTTTGTTATCATTTGCATTAAAGGTCCCCAGCTTGCAGTCTGGGAGCATCATGTAAATTATGTAGGTGATCATAGCCTTTACGTAGGGTAGGCTTATTGGACCTGAGCTCTCATAAAATCAAGTGACTAAGACCCAAGAGTTACCAGACCAAAATCTAAATATAATAGGATTTCAACTCCTATGCTTTATTAGGCATTTGAGCAGAAAGACAAATAATTCAGTGTCAATGAGTCATCCCCTGAGCGATTTCTTATGGGAATGAATTTTGTAGCCAGAAATTGCCACCACAGTCCCTTTCTGTCAGTCCTGGGGAGTTTTCCTTTGAGGCCTGATAGCGAAGCCCATCCTTCTGAAAATACAGATTGTCTCCTCTGTACACCCCATCTTCAAGAAAAATCTGTTTTGAACTGTTAGGTCCTTAGCAACCAGCACCTTTAGCTGCAGCTAAAAATGCTTGGCTATGCTTGGTTGGTAGAGAAGGAATGCCCAGCTTGGGATAGCCTGTCTAAACAGTGTCAAGGTTGTATGAATGTCTCACTGCAGCTTCGAAGGGGCTTGTAGCACGTTGTGTGTGGAACAGGAGAACACCCAAGGTGTGGGACCTTCTAGATAAGGACAGTTGTCCATTCTGACCTCCTTGGTCCTCTCTGCAGGAATAATCCAAGTCACTCAAACTCAATAAATAATTTTTTCAATCTGCATCTTTTTAGTTAACATGCTTTTACACAGATTTTAGTACCATTTAAAGTAGCTTAGAAGATTTTATATTTCTGTCAATCTGCTTCTTTCCCCCCTCCAATGTTCCTATTTAGTTCTTATGGAAGAAGAAGGCTAAAGGGAAAGCAAAGGAAGATTAAATATGGCTGTGGAGCTATATCTCCTATGAAATGCCCTGGACCAGATGTTCTTATCCATACCACCATAAATATGGAAAGCTCATTGAGTCAGTGGATGTACTTCAGTCATACCACAGTAATGAAGACCAGAATTTGGCTCTACAGTTTTAAATATTGCAAGTTATAGGTTACTTCAGGTCTTGAGATATCACACCACTAGATTTTGGGGGGGGGGGGGGCGGTTGTGCTTTAACTTACGTATTTTTGAAAACCAGGGACTTATGCTGGAGCTAAATGATTAACAGTCTGATATCTTGAAGGATGCTAGGACGCTCTGGTTACCATCTCACACACTTCTGTCTTATAAAAAGGGGTTTTGGGAGAATTCTCCTTTGCCATTCCAGAAACCCTGTCACTTTTCAACATTTGTCCTCTGGCTACTACTGTTGATCCATTAGCAGCAGTGAAAGGTGCACACGTTGCTGAACTTCCATGAATCGAGGATGTATGCTGTTGAGCTTTGCACTATAATATTTAGTGAGAAGAACAGTCCCCTGCAGTTCGTTCTCTGTCAGTGGAAAAGTAGCACAGTGGAAACTTGCTTCTTGATTGCAGTCTGAAATTTAGGAGAGCTTAACCTGAAAAACGCAGGCTTGCCCCTCTTCCCGGGGTTAGCCTGGGGCCTTGTCTGGCTTGCCTGCAGCAGCCAGCCTTCCCACAGCAGTGCGGCATGGCCGTAAACATCTGCATGAAGAAACCCACTTTCAGGGTCTGGATCTTGTATTTTGTCGAGTTTCCCATGGCTAACAGGGTTGAGTTTTCAAAGCTGATGTCCACATTTCATAAGGAGAATTACCTGCACCCCAAGAACTGGTGAACAGAGCTTTTTGCATGATGGTTATTTGTTGGTTATTTCCTTGTCATCTTAAATCTTAGCACTAAATTGGAAGTATGCAAACACATTGCATCGTATATAATTAATCTGCAGTTTTCTTTACTTCTCTTATGAGAAAACTATCCAAGGAGATTGGACTAGAAGGTACAATCGTTTAGGCAAGCTGCTTTATGCACTGTAAGGAAGTTCTTGTGTGAGACCCTAGATCTGCCAAGACCTGGATTACATTAATGTTGCCCCATATAAATACAAGCTGTAATCTTAATTTGTGGACCATGCAAACAGACAAGCTGCATGGCCTTAGCACTGGTGCTGTTTCTTACCATTCCCAGAAACCATATGGGAGCAGCATGCTAGAGAAGAGATGAAGCTCCTGGGATACAGCGAGACTGAGCGCTGCCAAACATCCCAAAACGGACAGAGAGAAGCCACAGTTTTCGGCTGACTGCTGCCAGACTGTGCTCTTCCCCGCCTGTGAGTTGGCTTCCTGTAGCCTGGTCGTCTTGTAGCCTGGCCTTCTAAGCAGGCTGGTGATGACAGTGTGAGGAATTACTGTCCTCTGTACTCCGAGAGGTCACCTCTAGCCAGTTGGGACTGAAGTGCTGCTGGTTTTCAAGGGGTGTTCCTTGTTGCCTGGCTCCTAGGTGTGTGCTCCGTGGCACACTGAGAGCAGCCATGGCTGGTGCTTTCGGTGGAGTCATTGGTCGGATCGTCTCAACGTGTGCAGCGAGCTCATCAAGAGCTTTGAGACTGCTGTCCTGGCTGCCTGGTCAGGGCTTCAGAACACTCGCTCCAGCTGGGTTGCCATAAATCCAGAAAATGTAAAATATCCTGAAATTCACTGAGACGAGAGTTCCACTAGGCAAAAGAGGATTTTTTCTGCCAAACACCAATATATGGTAGCCCTGTGCATGACATGGGAAGAGCATAGGGGAGGAATGCTTCACACAGTGAGCCCTGTTTTCAGCTGGGAGATGGCAACAATGCCTGGTAGGGAACTTCCAGGTCTGCTGCCTCCCAGCTCAAATACAGGATTGGGTGCATCTTAATCTGGGCATTTGACAAGACTCAGGCCCAGGTTAAATAATGGCACACACAAGAATGTTGCACAAAGGTTTATAAGGAAGAGGCGCAAACTCTCTTTATTTCACAGACTCAATGATCTGTAGGTTTCTATCAAAAGCAAATGTTTGGGAATAGGCATATTAAATCTTAAAATGGGTTTACCTAAAGAATTCTAAAAGACTTTTTTACTTTGTAACTATTGGTTGAAGTGGCTATCCAATATATACAGTGAAACAGTTTCTGTTACTTGTGATCTGTAAGGATTTAGTAAGCCAGCCATGTTATCATTGGAGATAGACTAATGACTTTTTTTTGCATAAGTGACTTCATGTAACTTGTCATTTCTATGAGCACTTACATTTCTAGAAATCCTTGTAAACTGACTGGTGTTTTTGCTCTTTACATCTTGTGAATCAAAGTTTGTGGAAATAAATGTCATCTATCGACTGTTAACAAAATGTTTGTTCTAATTATTTGGAATTTGTGGTTTGAAGATTGTTCTGTTCTATTATTATTCCCTTTCTTGTCTGGAAGTTTTTTAGCAGCAGAACTAGCAGGGAGTAGTGAATAATCTTGTTTATGGCTGAATACTCTCTCAGTCAGCCAGGCAAAGACCAGCCATTATTCTAAAAAAATAATGAATCTGGTACAAATTACAGAAAAGAGCAAAGGAAGAAGGAATGTAGCAGTGGTTGACTTACACAGCCACTTGGAATTTTTACTAATATTTCCAGTGACTGGTTCTATATTACTTTACTGGTTCAGGTTGTTATAGGTACTGCAAAACTAGCCATCAGTTACCAGGAAAAAGTGTGTCGGTTCCTTCAGTACGATAGTAACTTTAGACATGTGTGGA